AAGCCACACCCATTCCTGGTTTTATGTGCCTTGTGTACTTTCCATGCGGCTGCATATTGTAATATTCACTTCTTCAGGTTCCCTTGCTGTTTGGGTCATCGTGTGACGCAATTCCAGCAGATAGGTTTACAGGAAGGCTTCTGAGAAAGGTTTTGCTTTTCAGATTAATTAAACTAATGTACCTAGCGCAGTCCTCCTTTTCCACCTTTAAACCCTCACAGGGATAAGAGGTGCTAAAGGGGCACAGTGGAGAGAGAAAGATGCTTTTCTCAGTCTCTGACCAGACACCAGCAGCTGTCTACCTCTAGACTTCTGTCTACGTTATTTACGAAAAATAACGTAATAATCGGAGCCACTGTTAATTGAATTTAATGTTTTAGCTAAATGCAGGATGTTTTAAGTATTCCATTGTATTTGTATCAAGTTCTTTCATTCTGAATCATTCTGTTATATTTTGATACGTATATATATATTTGGTATGTATATGTATCAAAAGTAACACAAAAATAATGTAAATAGTTGGATATATCTTCATAAATAATGCCTTTTATCATTACACAATATTTCTTTTCTCTAGTTCTTTTAACCTTAAATTCCTCTTTGGATAATATTAATATTGCCACCCTGCTTTATTTGGTTTGTGTTTGCCTGTTATCTCTTAAGACACACTGTCTTTTTTTTTTTTTCCCTTAAAAATTTTTTTTTGGTAAATTGTACATTACATAAAATGTACCACTTGAACGAATTCAGTGGTATTTTACAATTCATTGGCACTGAGTACATTCACAATGTTGTGCCAACATCAACATTATCCATCTTTTAGAACGTCTTCATCATCCCACACAGAAGATCAGAGCTCTTTGTCTCTATGAATTTGCCTATTCCAAGTTCATTGTATAAGGGAAATCATAACACTGTTTGTCCTTTTGAAGGACATACTGTCTTCTAATGGGATAATTTACTGAGTTCCTATTTAATGTTACAACTGATATTCTTGTTTTATTGCTTCTCTAAATTTATCAGTTAGTAGCTAATCTTGTTTCTTCATTTTTTGTTTATTTTTGTTAATTTGAAAGTTCACTTCCATTAGTGGTTACATTCCTATTTCTCACTCTCCATCGGAAGCATATAGTGTTACTATTAATCAAAAGCAAAATACCTGTTTTTTATACCGGGGTCACACTTTCTCTTTTACTTTCTTTGAACCCAAGGAAGGTGAAACCTTTGGACTACTTCTTACCTCTTGCCCTTCTCTCTATTGCCTTAAAACCTTTGAAAAACCTTTACTTTGTCCCTTTCCCACCCACCCCCCTCCCTGATTTTTATATATAGTTAAGTAGTTAAAATGAATTTTGCTTACAACATGTCGTTTTTTAAAAGCACTTTGGTTGGGGCACCTGGATGGCTCAGTCGGTTAGGCGTCTGCCTTAGGCTCAGGTCATGATCTCGGGGTCCTGGGATCGAGCCCTACGTCAGGCTCCCTGCTCAGCATGAGCCTGCTTTTCCCTCTGCCCTTCCCCCTGCTTGTGCTTGCTTGCTCGCTCTGTCTGGTGCTCTCTTTCTTTCTCAAATAAAATCTTTAAAAAAAAACTAAATACAAGCACTTTGGTTATATATTCCAAGAGAATGTATTCTTTTTTTTTTTAAACATTTTATTTATTTATTTTGACAGCGAGCGAGCGAGAGGGAACACAAGCAGGGGGAGTGGGAGAGGGAGAGTACACAATTTTGTACTCATAGTGCTACTTTATAAAATACCCTTTCTCTACCCACCTCACACCTTTGCCTGGCAAACTCCTACTTGTTCTTTGAGATTAAGCTCAGGAAACCAACTCGTTCAGGGAGCCTTCCTGAGCCACCCACATGCCCATTAGATACAATTTCTATGAAGTTCAGAAATGCTCGTAGTCTGTTGTAAAACTTGAAAAATAATAACAGATTCAGTCTTGGTTACTTCTGGGGAGGGTGGAAGAGAGTAGGATTAAGGGGAGGAACATAGAGGTATTACCATAGGGTATTTATTAACCCACTAATATATGGTATTACCATAATCCATTCCTCAGGTATATTATTATAAAATTTTTCAAAATGCGTGTTAAGATTGACCAGGAGACTTGATGAGGTCTTTTGTGTGTTGATGAGTAGTACTGTGTTTTGAATAAGAATGGGTGTATTGAGGGCGTTCTTTCCTGATGTAGCAACACTTAGGAGTACCTGGAGTTTGAGAAAAGGGGGCTGGAGAAGATGTGCTAAATCAATCACAAGTTTAACTTTTTGGGTGAGATTAATCCCGCATTCTTCACCACACTGTTCCCTCTTGCCTTATGAGAGCCAAGCCACATTTTAGCCCTTCTGACGTGTATACCCAGCAATAACTTTTTTTTTTAAAGATTTTTTTATTTTATTTTATTTATTCATTTGAGAGAGAATGAGATAGAGAGAGCATGAGAGGGGGGAGGGTCAGAGGGAGAAGCAGACTCCCTGCTGAGCAGGGAGCCCGATGCGGGACTCGATCCTGGGACTCCAGGATCATGACCTGAGCCGAAGGCAGTCGCTTAACCAACTGAGCCACCCAGGCACCCTACCCAGCAATAACTTTGAGTATGGCATGGATTATCAGTGTAGTCCTATTTCAAGGTGGCATTGGACTCCTCTGATGCATGAATTTTGCCCCCAAACTCCCAAAAGCATTAGCAGACTTTCTGAGAACTGCCTAAGGCTCTTTGTACCCTACCGTCCTTTCTCTTCTTTCCAACAAGGATCAGACTGGTTTTGTGGGCTTCCTGTAGCAAACTTCCCATTTTCCCTCACCTCTGTTTCCCTCCATAAATCTCTTGCATGTCTAATCCCCTCTGCTTCTGGGAAGACCTACACTCACCCGAGTCACTCTGCCTGGCACGTGGTGAGCGGTCAATTCCTGTTTCTGTTAAAGTAAACAAAGTGAGAGGTGATGGTGATTATGACTCTGGTAGTCGTAATGGATGCACATGTCCAAACTGGAAAGCCGTTTCGGGGGTGGATACAATAGCACTGTGAGTGAATGTAGTATGGGGCTAAAGAAGGGTTAGTTTGTCACATTTCTTGCTTACCACTCCCCACTTCATGCGCTGACCACATTGATTTGCTTATATTCACTGCCAGCACCACAGCGACCCACAATTGTGTACTCACACTGCTGCTACTTCATAAGATACCCTTTCCCCACCCCCTCACACCTTTGCCTGGCAAACTCCTACTTGTTCTTTGAGATTAAGCTCAGGAAACCAACTCGTTCAGGGAGCCTTCCTTTCCCTCGCTACCTCTCAGCTTCTCCCTTTGGCTCTCACCCTCTTCTGGGTTCCTGAACCATCTTGTGTTTATATGCACAGTAGTCGTACACATACTGAATTGTATCAGCCTATTTTGTATCAGTTTCTTCTTTTAGCCTCTGGATTCCTTTAGTTATGAGGTGAGATTGCAGAGGGGTCAGTTACCCATTTCACAGTTTATGCAAAGATCAGTGGGAAACCATTGGAGGTTTTACATATGGAGCTAATATGATGTGATTTGTTTCAGAGACTCACTTTGGATACTGTTTGTGGAATGGTTGGTTTGGAGAAGTGCAGGAGTAAGTTTGGGGAAATGGTTTTGTGTGTCTTCTGGAGCCCACCTGCCTGGGTCCACTGTACACTAGCTTTGTAATCTTAGAGATGTTTCTTAACCTTTGTTTACCTCAGTCTCTCCATCTGTAAAATGGTGATAAAAATAGTACTACCTTGGGGCACCTGGGTGACTCAGTCATTAGGTGTCTGCCTTCGGCTCAGGTCATGGTCCCAGGGTCCTGGGATCGAGCCCCGCATCGGGCTCCCTGCTCAGCGGGAAGCCTGCTTCTCCCTCTCCCACTCCCCCTGCTGGTGTTCCCTCTCTCGCTGTCTCTCTCTCTGTCAAATAAATAAATAAAATCTTTAAAAAAAAAATAGTACTACCTTCAGAGTTGCGGTGAAGGTTAAATGAATTAAAACAGCTTAGAATAGTAATTGGTGCATAGTAAGCAATCACATGTTACGGATTATGTTGTTATTCAGCAAATATTTATGTGTTCGCTGCATACTAGGCAGTGAGCTAGATACCACTCTTAAGCTGAAAGCTAAATTTAACAGGTGACAAAAGCAAGTTCAAATTAATAATATACAGACAGAACATTGAGTTACAATGATTGGTGTCCCTGAGAATCTGGATATAAAACAAACTATTTGGCCGTTGTTATAATGTTACAATTCTGGAGATCTCGTATTTTGATTCCTTTGACATTTTTTATAGCAGGGACCCCATTAGATACTACATGAGTCACTGGGGAACATTTTTTGAATAAAAGAATCCTCGATAATAAGACTCTATCCTTTTGTTAGGAGTTTACCTACTCTATAACTTGGTAATTGAGAAATTAATTTTTGAACATGTTGTATTACTATTAAATAAATATACTGTCAGCTTTATAAGTTCAGAGTTTTTGTATACCAGTTTAGGAGAGCTTTTGTTTTTGTTTTGTTTTAGTTAAACAAAGGAGATACAGTGGTAATTCATGTGTAAATATAATGAATATATGGGGGAAGCTAAGAGACTTGCTGGTATTTAAATGACTAATTTTTTTAAAGAGAATAGTTTATATATATTGTGGTAAAGAATTAAAATAATTTATACTTTACATGAAAAAAATTGATAGTGGTTAACCATGGGGTGTGGGATTTAAAAATGGGAGCATGCTTTTATAATTAAAGATAAACAGTAAATAGCAGAGATTTAAGGAGGAAAACAATGACAAAGTAAAATAAAAGTAGAAACAAATATGTGTGTACGTTAGATAACTTACAAAGAATTTGTGGTTCTTATGAATGGTTTCATCCACCCTCAGCTGGGTGTAGCATGGTCCATGGAAACTGTATTCACACAGAACTTGATGTGAGTTTTGTCTTTGTTCTTGTTCTAGTGTTCACGTTTGTTTACCTGCTTTATTTTTACAGGGATGTGCATGCAGTCTGTCTCTGGGATGATAAAGGTCCAGCAAAAATTCATCAGGCTTTAAAAGAAGATATTCTTGAGTTTATCAAGCAAGCACAGGCAGTAAGTTCTGCATCTTTAGATTAAGTTTATTTTAAGATTTAGAAAATACTGTATTTTCTGATGTAGGACTCCCAGAAATAATTTTAAAATATCACATTGACTTTTGACATTTGCTGATTAAAGTTTTTTAAAATTTATTTATTTAATCAATCTCTACAGACCCAGCATGGGACTGTAGCTCAAAACCCCGAGATCAAGAGCTACAAGCTCTGCTGACTGAACCAGCCAGGCGCCCCATGTTCACTAAATTTTTTAATGAGCTGATTGTTATTGGTTGTTTATTCCCCCTTAGTGACATTTTTGTCAAGACAGTACATCATTATCCTCAGTTAAAAGTGCTGTTTCTATATATATTCTTTTTCTGTATATGATCTTCAATATCTTAAGTACCTGATTGTTATATATTTAATTGAAGTCAAGTACCTGATTGTTACATATTTAATTCTGCTCATAGCCAACACCATGATGTTAAAAGATTCATGTCACATGGGGCATTACTTACAAAATGAAATGTTTTGATATCACCATTAATTCTGTCATCTTGAAAAATGATTTTTTAAAAAAGACTTTATTTATTTATTAGAGGGAAAAAGGGGAGAGAGAGAGAATCTCAAGCAGACTCTGTGCTGAGTGCAGAGCCCGACACAGGGCTCAATCTCAAGACCCTGAGATCACGAGTCAAGGTGAAACCAAGAGTCAGATGTTCAAAAAACTGAGCCACCCAGGCGCCCCCTGATAAATAATTTTTTAAGAAGTATTACAGTTTTGGGGCGCCTGGGTGGCTCAGTCGGTTAAGCGTTTGCCTTTGGCTCAGGTCATGATCCCAGGGTCTTGGGATGGAGGCCCACTTCAGGCACCCGCTCAGTGGGAAGTCTGTCCCTCTGCCCTCCCCCCCTCTCATGCTCTTTTGCATGTGCTCTCTATCAAATAAATGAAAAATTAAAAAAAAAAAAGTTTTATAGAAAATTCTCTTTTAATGAATATAAATTATATTTTCAGACTTTGCTTAGAAAAATAAATACTTTTTTATCACAATTGAATCAAAAGTATACTTTTCCAGAACTCATTTAGAAATAATGCATTGGGAAGCATATCATCTTACCTGTTTATGACTTTCAGTGATAATATAAATTATGTTTATTTCAAATTAATAGAGGTTTAGTCTTCAGTTTCTGGAAATGGGCTCCTAAACAGTCATCATCTTAGATATCATTAACAAATGTTAAAAAATATACTTCACACTACAAAACAAAAATACGTGTTTCATTGTAACATGACCCATTGAAATCTGGAATGTAGACTTTAGTAAGACCCTGAGGATGAGGTTTAGTGTCACTAATTCAGAGTGTTTAAATGATAGGAATAGTAATGCCAGACATGGCTATATGACTTCTCAACTTCTTTTTTTTTTAAGATTTTATTTATTTGACGAGCAAGAGCATAAGTTGGGGGCAGGTAGAGGGAGAGAGGGAGAAGCAGGCTCCCCGCTGAGCAAGGAGCTTGACACAGGGCTTGATCCCAAGACCCCAGGATCATGATTTGAACCTAGGGCAGACGTTTGACTGAGTCACCCATTCACCCCCGATTTCTAAACTTTTTTTTTTTAAAGATTTTATTTATTTATTTGAGACAGAGAGAGCACATGAGAGGGGGGAGGGTCAGAGGCAGAAGCAGGCTCCCTGCCGAGCAGGGAGCCCGATGCGGGACTCGATCCCGGGACTCCAGGATCATGACCTGAGCCGAAGGCAGTCGCTTAACCAACTGAGCCACCCAGGCGCCCCCGATTTCTAAACTTTTAAGAAGATTTAGCTTTGTGAGTTATTTTACTAGTCAGTTATTAGACTAATTGAGCTTATCTAGTTAGGAGGATCAGATCTCTTAAACAGGACAGATTGTTTCCATATGCATTAAAATGTTTATAGTATTATTTGAAATGACAAAATGGGAAGTAAAAAGTAAATGTACAATGCTTGCCAAGTTATTAGGGTATTTAATTTTGGTACCTGGGTGGTTCATTCGTTAAGCGTCTGCCTTCAGCTCGGGTCATGATCCCAGTGTCCTGGGATTGAGCCCCGCATCGGGCTCCCTGCTCAGCGGGAAGCCTGCTTCTCCCTCTCCCCCTGCTTGTGTTCCCTCTCTCGCTGTGTCTCTCTCTCTCAAATAAATAAATAAAATCTTAAAAAAAAAAAAATCAACATAAGTATTTTTTTTGCTCATTAATTCTGTATAGCAATTTGGCCTAGGCTCACCTCATTTCTTCTAAGCTTATTAATGTGCCAGCAGGTAGCTGGTGGCTTTGCCGGGACTGGATGATCCAAGAGAGCTTTTCTCACATACTTGGTATTTGGTGCTGGCTTTCACCTGGGCCTTTCTCCCTCAGGTGGTTTCCCATTCTGGGGGAACCCAGCTTTTGAGGTGATAGTGGAATCTTCAAGATTTCCTCAGATCTTGGTTCAGAAGTCTCACGGTGTCACATCTGCATTCTGCTGATCAAAACAATCACAGGACCAGCCCAAACCAGTGGTGGAGAAATAGACCCCGCCATCTTTTAAAAAATTGAGATTTAATTTACATACCAGAAAATTTACCCTCTTCAAGTATAAGGTTTAGTGGGTTTTAGTATATTCATAAAGTTGTGCAGCCATCATCCACTCATTCTAAACATTTTCATCACCCTAAAAAGAAACTGTGTACCCATTAGCAGTTAATCCCCTATGACCCACTCACTCCCCACAAACCCTGGTGACCACTCATCTTCTTTGTTTCCATGCATTTGTTTGTTGTGTGCATTTCCTATAAATGGGATCATGCAATATGTGACCTTTTATGACTGGCTTCTTTCATTGACGATAATGTTTTCAAGGTTCAACTACATTGTAGTATTTATCCGTATTGCATTTCATTTTATGGCTGAATAATATTCCATAGTATGGCTGTACAACATTTTTTTTTTAATCTATTCATCATCGGTGGACATTTGGGTTGTTACTACTTTTTGTCTGTTTTGAGTAATGCTGCTAGGAACATTTGTGTGTAAGTTTTTTTTTTTAATTGAGGTGTAATTGACATATAATATTAGTTTTAGGTGAACAACATAATGATTTGATATTTGTATATATTATGAAATGATCACCACAGTAAGTCTAGTTAACATCCATCACCACACATAGTTACAGAATTTTTTTTCTTGTGATGAGAACTTTTAAAATCTCTTATCAACTTTCTAATATTCAATACAGTATTGTTAACTGTTGTTGCCATCCATATGCTACATTGCTACTTCCTCAGTCTTATTTATTTTATAATTGGAAATTTTTTTTTTTTTTTAAAGATTTTATTTATTTATTTGACAGAGAGAGAGATAGCGAGAGCAGGAACACAAGCAGGGGGAGTGGGAGAGGGAGAAGCAGGCTTCCCACTGAGCAGGGAGCCCGATGCGGGGCTCGATCCCAGGACCCTGGGATCATGACCTGAGCCGAAGGCAGACGCTTAACGACTGAGCCACCCAGGCGCCCTATTTTATAACTGGAAATTTGTACCTTTTGACTCCTTGCCCATTTGTGCCCCACCCAGCACTCCCTACCTCTTGCAACTACCAGTCTGTTCTCTGTATCAGTGAGCTTGGGTTTTTTGTTTTTGTTTTAAATTCCACGTGTAAGTGAAATCATACTTATCTTTTGCTGTCTTATTTCACTTAGCATAATGCCCTCAAGATCTATCTTTGTTATTGCAAATGGCAAGATTTCATTTTTTTTCTAATGGTTGAGTAATAGTCCATTGTGTATACATACCACATTTTCTTTGTCTTATTTATCTATTAGTTGATCCTTAGGTTGTTTCTATAACTTGGCTATCGTAAATAATGCCTCAGTGTACATGAGAGTGCATGTCTTTTCGAGTTAGTGTTTTGTTTTCTTCACATAAATACCCAGATATGGAATTGCTGGGTCATATGGTAGTTCTGTTTTTAATTTTTCAAGTAACCTCCATACTGTTTTCCACAGCAGCTGCACCATTTTACTTCCCACCAGCAGTGCACAGGGTTTCCCTCTTCACAACATCCTGGCCAACACTTGTTCTTTCTTGCCTTCTTGATACTAGCCATCCTGACAGGTGTGAGGTGATAGATAGCTCACGTGGGTTTGATATGCATTTCCCCAATGATGAGTGACGTTGAGCACCTTTTCATGTGTCTGTTGGCCCTCCGTGTGTCTTCTTTGGAAAACGTCTGTGCAGATCTTCTGCCCGTTTTTCAGTCGCATTGTTTATTTTTTGCTCCTGAGTTGTAGGAGTTCTTTGTCTGTGTTGGGTGTTAGCTCCTCGTCAGATCCATGACGTGCAGTGATTTTCTCCCTTTACAAGGTTGTCTTCATCACATTCGTGGGCCCCTTTGCTGTGCTGTGGTTCTGGAGTTGGAGGTGGTCCACTTGTCTGTTTTTGCTTTTGTTGCTTTGGGTACCATATTCAAAAAAATCATCGCCACGACCTATGTTAAGGAGCTCACCTAAGCCTGGGTTTTCCTCTAGGTGTCTTATGGTTTCAGGTGTTAGGGTCAAGTCTTTAATCCATTTTGAGTCAACTTTTGCGTATCGTGCAGGATAGTGGTGCGGTTTCATTCTTTTGCACGTGGCCGTCCTGTTTCCCCAGCACCGTTTATTGAAGAGACCGTCCATCCCCGTTGTATATTCTTGGCTCCTTTGTTGTGAACTAACTGACCGTATGCGTGTGGGTTTGTTTCTGGGCTCTCTGTTCTGTTCCACTGATCTCTGTGTCTGTTTTGAGGACGATGGAGCTCTGGAACGTAGTTTGCCATCAGGAAGGTGATGCTCCAGCTTTGTTGTTCTCTCTTAAGATCGCTTTGACTGCTCTGGGTCTTCTGTGGTTCTCTCCAAGTGGTAGGTTTGGTGGTTCTTTTTCTGTGGGAAATGCCATTGGACTTTTGATTGAGATTGCATTGAGTTTGCATGTTTTTGGTAATGTGGTTATTTTAATGCTATTGTTCTTCCATTCTGTGAGCAGCAAATATCTTTCCATGTATTTGTGTCTTCTGTTTGTTTCATCCGTGCCTTACAGTTTTCAGTGTACAGGTCTTTCACCTCCTTGGTTGAGTTTATTCCTAGGTATTCCTGGGATCTGTTCCAGGGATATAAGATTGGTTAGTTCAACATCCACAAGCAAACCTTTGTGAAACACCACATGAACAAAATAAAGTATAAAATCGTATGATCATCTCAAATAGATGCAGAAAAACCATTTGACAAAATGCAACATCTATTTATGATTAAAACTCCTAAAAAGTTGGTATAAAGGGAATGTATCTCAACATTATAAAGGCAGTATAGGACAAACCCACAGCTAAAATCACTCAATGGAGAAAAGCTAAAAGTTTTTCCTCTAAGATCAGGAACAGGACAAAAATGCTAATTCCCACCACTTTGATGCAGCATAGTACTGGTAGCAATCAGACAAGAAAAAGAAATAAAAGGCATCCAAGTCGAAAAGGAAGAAGTTAAAAAAATAAAAAGTAAAACCGTCACTATTTGCAGATAACATAATATAGAGAAAACCATGAAGATTCTAACAAAAAACTGTCAGAACAGACGAATTTAGTAAAGATGCATGATACAGAATCAATATACAAAAATAAATCTATTCCGTTTCTATACGCTTAAAACTATCAGTAAGAGAAAGTTAAAAACCAATCCCATTTAAACTTGCATCAGAAAGAATAAAATATGGGCACCTGGGTGGCTCAGTTAAAATGTCTGTCTTGGGCTTGGGTCATGATCCCAAGGTCCTGGGATTGAGCCCTGTTTGGGCTCCCTGCTCCCAGCTCTTGTTTTCGCTCTCAAATAAATAAATAAAATCTTAAAAAAAAAAAAAAGAGTTGCATGCTCTACCACCTGAGCTAGCCAGGAACCCCAGTCCTTTATATTTCTCTTATCAACTGTAATGTCTCCTGTTTCATTTCTGATACTGTTTGAGTCCTCTTTTTTCTTGGTGACTGTGCACAGGTTTTTCATGAACTTTTTTGGGGACATAGATATTTATAGCAGCATTTTTCATGATAGCCAGTGGGTGGAAACAACCCGAATGTCCATCAGTGGACAAAATAGATAAACTAAATGTGGTGTATCTATAAAATGGTATAGTGTTCAGCCATAAAGGAATAAAGTCTTGATACATCCTAGGACTTGGGGGTCCCTTGAAACTGTTAAATGAAAAGTCAATTATAAATGTCTACGTACTATGGGGCGCCTGGGTGGCTCAGTCGGTTAAGCTTCTGATTCTTGATCTCAGCTCAGGTCTTGATCTCAGGGTCATGAGTTCAGGCCCCTTGTTGGGGGCACTGGGTGGCTCAGTCAGGTGGACTGAGTCCAGCTCTTGGTTTCAGCTAGGGTTGTGGTCTTGGGGTGGTGGGATCGAGCCCTGTATAGGGCTCTGCACTAAGTGTGTGGTCGGCTCTGTATTCTCTCTCTCCCTCTGCCCCCCAACTCGTGCACGTGTTCCCTCCCTCATTTGCACGCCCTCTCTCAAAAATAAATAGAATCTTAAAAAAAATAAAATAAATGTCTACATATTACATGTTTCCATTCATATGAAAGTCTGGAACAAGTGAGTATATAGACACTGAAAGTAAATTAGTGGTTGCTTAGGGTTGGGGAAGGGATGGATGGGAATGGTAGTTAGGGGAGGATAAAAAGGTGATAGCTTAAGGATATAGGGTGTTAGGGTTTTTTATTGAGATATACCTGACATAAAACATTTTATTAGTTTCATGTGTACATTATGATTTTATGTATGTACCAACATGATTGCCAGAGTAAGTCTTTGTGAACATGCTTTAATTTTTCTTGGATACCATATAGTTTATACAATAAATAAAATATTTTTATATAAATTTTATACATTGTATATATGTTTATATATATTTATATATATAATTTTATATATTTTATATTTATAGCATGAATATATTCTGTTATTCTTTCAAGCACCTACCTGTGTTTATTTCAAATTCATATGATTCTTTTTTTTCAGCGAGTACTGAGCCATCAAGATGATACAGCTTTGCTAAAAGCATATATTGTTGAATGGCGAAAATTCTTTACACAGTGTGATATTTTACCGAAGCCTTTTTGTCAACTGGAGATTACTTTAATGGGTAAACAGGGCAGCAATAAAAAATCAACTGTAGAAGACAGTATTGTTCGAAAAGTAAGTTACTTTTTGCATTTTTTACCCTAATCTTCAGAAAGAGGGTAATTTTACAACTTTAGAAAGTAATTCAGACTTTTAAGTGGTTTTTCTTTTTTTTTTTTTTTTAAGATTTTATTTATTTATTTGAGCGAGAGAATGAGATAGAGAGCATGAGACGGGGGAGGGTCAGAGGGAGAAGCAGACTCCCTGCCGAGCAGGGAGCCTGATGCGGGACTCGATCCCGGGACTCCAGGATCATGAGCTGAGCTGAAGGCAGTTGCTCAACCAACTGAGCCACCCAGGCGCCCTAAGTGGTTTTTCTACTCGATCTATAAATTCCTTTTTGACTCTTGCTGGGTTTTACTGAATACTACCAACTTTCTTCTTTTCCACGTTTAGCTGCACTCCTCTTTCGTTATGTTGTGTGGTGTTAAGTTGTGGATCTGTGTCCTCAGATGTTAGCGCCTTGCTTTCTCCTTTTCCTGGTTTTATCTTCAGTATTCTATTTCCTTCTTCTTCTTTGTTACTTTTACCTTCCTATAAATTACTTTTTTCCTCTTTCAAAAATCTCTCGTTAGGTTACCTTCTTGTATCTTTGTGTTTAATTGTGGCTAAATTGTTGTTATCTTCATGATCTTCTTTTTACTTGATTCCAGTTATCATGAACTCATTATGTACTGTGTTTATTTTCATATTTTTGCATGGTTTCTAGTTAGAAGGTCTGTGTCCAGTAACCCCTCGTGATTTAATGGAAAGAACTCAGCTCTGAAAGTGGAATCCCAGGTTTTCTTTTCAACTCTTCAATCAGTTATGACCTAAACTCTCTGTCCTCATTTCGCATATGTATTCCTGCTTCTGAGAATCAAGTGGAAACATAGATTTGAAAAATAAAAAAGTGAAAAGTGCCTCTTGGACTTTAAGCAACTTGCTACTTGCTGTGAAGGTTATAGCAACAAAATCAGGCATTCAAATAGTGGCGAAGGCATCATGCCCCTTCCCAACTCTAAACTTTGTGCTGATGTGGACAGGGATGCTGTGAATTTAGACACCCAGGGGTTCTCTGGGGGTAGAAATAACTGCAGTGTGAGAAATTATCCCCCTTCCCCCAAAAAAGAAAAAGAAAAGTACTTCTAGATGCTTTAATTTGCAGTTCCATAATCATATACTCTCTTGTTTTTTTGTTATTCTTGATTTATACCATTCCCTACAGATTATAGGAATCCGCATCACTTAACGATTAAGAGCATAGATTCTGGGACCATACCTGTTGGATTCACATCCCAGTGTTGCCGTTTGTGAGCTGTATAAGGGTGGGGAAACTAGCTTTCCTCTCAGTGTCCCAGATTCTGATTTCTCAAAAGGGAGCTAACAGTACCTATTTGTTGGTTTTGAGGATTAAATGAGTTACGTGTGAAAAGTACTTAGAGCGTGCTGGGTATGTAGTGAATGTTGTATACCTGCTAATGTTATCATTGATGCTGATGCTCTTGTCATTAATATATTTTCTGTATCTGACACAGTTTCTTGGAATGATAATACATATGGATATGGGTATAACATTGCCATCATTTAAATGGAACATCTGTCAGGTGGATTTGTAGGTCCAGTATCACACAGGTTTTCATTTGGTGCTTTTTGCATTTATCATGTGTTTATTATACAAATATGTATATGAGCATTCCAAACACCAGTATTACTGAAATTTAACCTTGTAACTATAGGAGAGGTGAGCTTTTCCATGTATTGCTATATTTAATTTTTACAACAACCACTTGAAATTTGTATTATTATTTGTACTATTTTCAGATGGGAAATCCCGTAAATAAGTTAACATTTAACCAAACTTAAATACACTAGTTCCCTGAAGTATTCAAGTGAATATAGGCCTAAGAATTTGATTTCCTTTTCCAGTGTTTATAGTTCACATTTTTTGTTTCTGTATGGTACCTGGTATATTAATAATTAAGATGATTGCATATTTCTTTTTGTCCTAGCTCATGCTTGATACATGGAATGAGTCCATCTTTTCAAATATAAAAAACAGACTCCAAGATAGTGCAATGAAGCTGGTACATGCTGAAAGATTAGGAGAAGCTTTTGATTCTCAGCTGGTCATTGGAGTAAGAGAATCCTATGGTATGTTCTGAACTTTTATGATCATAACTTTTTACGGAAATTCTGAGACCATTACAGAATAGTACGATCAGTTATTTGTGCTATCAAATAGTCACATCTACTTTGGGTGCCAGATGCTTTTAAGAGCCCACAGAAGGTATTAAATCTCTTCGAGGAAATATAGAAAAAATCCATATTCCTGTGGTTAATACTGGTTTTCTCCATCTCACTCATTTCTTGGCTGGTGAACCCTTTTAGTGACCTAAATTAGAGAAACCGTAGATTTGAATCAAGAACTCAGAAAAGGTGGTAACTGGTTTTGTACTTACATTTTCAGGAAGTACGTTTATTCCATGTACACGTTCCTCTCTGAACTTTTCAGTTTCTGACCGTGATATTCTCATTTGTTCTTTAAATCAGATACACTGTTTTCTCTGAGAATACTCCTCTTTCCGCTTTACTTGTGGCTCATCCTCATCCTGTTTGCTGGCGGAGGCCTTTCCTAATTCCCAGACTAGGTCAGGTCCCTCTCACACTGCTTCATAGTACCGATGCCTCCCTGTCATCATACTTTAGTTAACTGTGTTGCTGACACTGAACATAGAATGTGGGCACAAAGTATGCCTCGGTAAGAATTTTTTTGTATTAATGAACCTTCAGCTATCTTTGGCTCTTTCTGTTGCCCCATATTTCTTTAGGTATCAAAGTCTCTAGGCTTTCGTCAGCAGCCATGTCATTGAAATTTATTCCTCCTCATTTCAGCTACCACCAGTTTATACTGTGTAAACTCTGCTTCTGGACTTTTGAAATAGTCTTCTTATAGTGATCTTATTGCTATAATTTAACCCGTGAACTGTTCACAAGATTAATTTTTAAGTACTGTTTTGTTAGTATTTTTCTTAGCATTTAGTGGTACACCACGCTGAAATCAGGTCACTTAGTCTGAGTGCTGAGGCTCTCCACAACCATTCCTAACTTCCCTTTCTACCTTGTTTTCTGCTAACCTTACAGTCCACTCAGACAACGTGGTCATTTTACCTTGACTTGGCCTTGTGATTTGGTACTTCCCCATATTTACTTATTTTACTAGCTTCTGTGTAAATTATAGTTTTTCCTTAAGACTTATCTCAAATCCTGTCTCAACTATGAATGGTTTCTTGACCATCTAGTTGGAAGTCATTCTGTTTCCTATTCAGAAATACAATAGGCCCATGCTGTCTGTACTATTTGTCACTTCAGTGCTTTGTGCTGTTACCTTTTTAAGTCTCTTAACACAGAAGGATTTTGTCTTATATGATTTATGTTCTCTTGAGCATTGTCACAGTCCCTTGCACATAATGACTCTTCACTATTTGTTATTTCATTTATTGTACTCAAAATACTGATTTGAAACATAATTAGAGTAAAATTTATTTTCTGTTTTTCAGTTAACCTTTGTTCTAATCCTGAAGATAAGCTTCAAATTTATAGGGACAATTTTGAGAAGGCATACTTGGATTCAACAGAGAGATTTTATAGAACACAGGCACCCTCGTATTTACAACAAAATGGTGTACAGAATTATATGAAATATGTAAGTCAGAACTTAGTAATGTGATAATTTGAGCTCATCCGTTGATATTCTTAAAAATGATTGCTATTTTGCTTCTGGGCAGGCAGATGCTAAATTAAAAGAAGAAGAAAAACGAGCACTACGTTATTTAGAAACCAGACGGGAATGTAACTCTGTTGAAGCAGTAAGTAACTGTGTGATTGTGTATTCTTGGAGATTATTTCCAGTACAGTAGCCCAGGGATGGCAAATACTTGATGCGAGTGTTCTTACTCATCCTTCTCACACCTCTGACCGGCATTACTGAATGCAGTTAGTACTCTTTCCCTGTATTCCGGGGCACAGCTGCCAAAGTCACCTTATGCAGAACTCATTCATCGTTCTTTTGAGCTGATGTGCAAGATGAGATCTGTTTGCCATCCCTGCTCTAGACTTTACTACATTTAATGTACTTAATTTTTAAACAGTCTCCTTGTATTATGTTTTATGTGCATCTGTAGTTAACCATTTTAGTGATTTTCATGTTGCAAGTAAAATATGCTCCCTAGAGATACAGTTGATTCTTGTTATTCACAGTGATTATGTTCTGTAAAGTGGCTGTGAACACTGAATCAGTGAGTACCGATTAAATCATTACTTATAGGGGATATTTATTCTTGTTATGGGAGGACGTTTTCAAACTTGTCAAGAGATAAAATACTACTTGATCAGGGAACATCAGTCTTTATTTTGTTATTTTGTTTTTCTTTATACTGTAAGTTCCTCAAAAAACAAAACAAAACTGATCAGAAGTAGTAGCCATGTTACAGTATCTCTCCTGAGTGTTTTCTTATGGAGAATGACCTAAATGTGCTATAGTAAGGAAAATAAGAGTCAAGCTTGCAGAGAGTCTTAGAAATCGCTCATATATAGCAATGGTATTTACTCTAATTCCCTTCAGTCTTTGGAGCCTAGGAACTAGATTTAGATTTACATTCAAGGAGGCAACATTCCTGTTTGCCTGTGACCAAACATTTTCCAACTGTGGATGGATTTATTTATTTCTTTATTTGCTCCTGACTTTTCTTCGACTCTTCCATCTTGAATGATAGTCATGTTTATGCCTTGTTCAGAAAACAGGTTGAATTGGATTTTTTTTTTTTAATAAAGTACAGTATATTTCCTCTTTTAGTGGTTAAAATAACTTTCATGTTGGCCAGAAAAGAGGGCTGATTTCATGGTTGTTTATAGAAATTCTCTGTAGAAATTTAAAGCCAGGCTTGGACTTCATCCAGAATGCAGGGAAGGCCATTGAATGTTTTTTAAGCAAGTGTGCCATGCTCACAGTCATCCCTTCAGGGGGATTAATCTGGTGACGATTTGAAAGATGAATTAGAATGGGGGAGAGAGAAGAGTAGAAGGTAGGAGGTCTTTGCAATAATTCATGCGGGGGTTGAGGATGTAGCCGAGAAGAGTAGAGAGAAAAGACTTCCCAGAGGTGGAACATGGTGTCATGTGTGGGGCTGGATGTTAAAGGGAATGGAGTCAGTAATGTTTCTGAGGCTTTGGCCTGGAGGAATTTAGCTGCTACAGGGAGGTTGGATAGAAGAGTAAGTCTCAGTCCTGAGAGAGAAATAGGAGTTAGTGTGACAAGTTTGAGTTGGTTGATGTGCCCATAGCATCTGGGTGGGGATGTTGCAGTTTTGTAAGATAGAATTGTTGTTTTTCTCCTCTAGTTTATATGACTTAGTTGTATCATATCTATATGAAGCCTAAGGGGATTCAACTACAGATGTCTAAAAATAAGAGAAAGCATTAAAAAGAGGATGAGAATGGTAGAGATAATCAAATACACATGACAGTTGATATAGAACAAGTAAGCCTCCCTTTCTGCTTCATTTATTTTTTTTTATTTTTTAAGATTTTTATTATTTGAGACAGACCGAAAGCAAGAGAGGTCACAGAGGGAGAGGGAGAAGCAGACTCTGCCAAGCAGGGAGCCTGATGGGGGGCTCGATCCCAGGACCCTGGAATCATGACCCGAGCCGAAGGCAGACGCTTAACGACTGAGCCACCCAGGCGCCCCTCCCTTTCTACTTCAGAGCACGCGCACACACACACAGAAAAAAGTTAAAATAGAAGATGTGAATTTACTTTTCCACAGTTACCAAATAGTGTGAGCATCTCATCAAGCTGAATGACTTTAGGGTTCAAAGATAAGTTTTTTCGTTACTGTTTTCAGCGGAGAGACCCTCAGTGCACTGCAGCATACTTCCAAAGGAACGACTTTATTTGGGATGTAGGAGGTCTTCTTGTGTGGTTTGTTTTTATTTTGTTTCAATTTTCTGCTTATTTTTATTTTTTATTTATTTTTTTAAAAAATTTTATTTATTTATTTGAGAGAGAGAATGAGATAGAGAGCATGAGAGGGGGGAGGGTCAGAGAGAGAAGCAGACTCCCTGCTGAGCGGGGAGCCGGACATGGGACTCGATCCCGGGACTCCAGGATCATGACCTGAGCCGAAGGCAGTCGCTTAACCAACTGAGCCACCCAGGCGCCCCTCTGCTTATTTTTAAAAATTAACTCTTGACTCAAGTATAAGGTGTATACAGAAAAGTGCACAGAAATCTCAGGTATGCATTATTACAAAGTGAACATACCTATAAAATCACCACACAAGAATTACCAGCAGTTCCGAAATCACTCATCATGCCCCCTCCAAATTACTCTTACCATCTTTTTCTTCAAAGGTTATCACTCTCTTAACTTTTAACAACGTAGATTAGTATGTAGTTTGTACAGCAATATTTGGTGCAGAGGAGAAATCAAGTACCAAATTTGTAGGATTAGTTATAACATTGGGAATTTCAGGTTTAATGAAGATGCATTACTATTTATATACCTCACTGAGCTAAGGCCCTTATACTGTGTACATAACATTTACTATATATATTTGTTAATTTATAGTTTCTGTTTTCAAAGAGAAATGATATATGTTAAAATGAAGTATGTTGTGATGGAAGGAACAGTAAACCAAAAAATCACCAGGTCCTGATAGAAATAAAGTATGAACAGCATTATTTGAATAGTTAGTAAGAAACAAGTCACTTTCCATACTATAAACTATTCAGAACAGACTTACTGCCCTAAATTCTCTGAGAAGAATTATCAGCCATCAGAACATGCAATGGTATGTACTCACCTGTTAGACTATTCTTATTGGAGAACAGTTACAGTGTAGGAAAATATATTTTACTGTTACAGTCACTTCCTATGGGGCTATACAGTAATACACATCAGAATTTAAGATTAAAGTATGTATGTTTTTGGCATTTATGTTTTTCTCTGTAAATTAGCAAATTATTGTGGTTTATCAGTTACCTTCTTTGTATTTAGTTGGTATAAATCAATACCAGTTCTTTAAACCTGACTAGTTTTTAATATATGCAGAAAAACAAGGTTTTGGACCTGTATTGTGTATAGTAGAGAAGATCTCACCTAGGCAGTACCCAGTTGTGAGGCCAGGTCTCCTGAAAGTCAGATGTACATTCCAAGTAATATTACTGTCGTACTCAGCAGCTCACTGGATTCTTTCATTGTTTATCAGAGTTTTATCATCTTGGGTATTCCAAGCAGCTGATTACATCATTTGCAAATAATGATGCTTTTGCCTTTCTATTATTAATATCTCCTATTTCCTTCAATAGACTAAATCTATTAATAGTTAATTTGGGGGGAAATGTTAAATATGGGGATCCTTGCTCCTTCAGTCTTTGATGGGAATGCTTCCACATTTTCATCATTAAGCATGGTGTTGGATTTTGGCATGATGTATGCATTTTGTTACGTTAAGAAACCATTTATTCTTCTTTTATAAAGAATATTATCAGAAATGTATATACTTTAGTCCTAAAACCAGTATCTTATTTAATGGAGGTATACTAGAGTCATTTCCACTTAGATCTTTTTTTTTTTTAAGGATTTTATTTATTTGAGAGCGAGAGCGAGAGCGAGAGCGAGAGAATGAGAGAGAGAACACGAGAGGGGGTAAGGTCAGAGGGAGAAGCAGACTCCCTGCCGAGCAGGGAGCCCGATGTGGGACTCGATCCCAGGACTCCAGGATCATGAGCTGAGCCGAAGGCAGTCGCTTAACCAACTGAGCCACCCAGGTGCCCATCCACTTAGATCTTTAACAAGGCAAGGATGCCCACCATTTCTGCTGCTACTTAACATTGTATAAGAGGCATTAACCTCTGCAGTTAGACTAGAGAAATCAATTGGAGGCATATGAATGGGTGAGCAGAAGTAAAACTCTGGAGATGATGTCATAGTATATTCAGAAAACTCCAGATAATCAATGATAAAACTAACTCAAACAATAAAGCAATTCAGTAAAGTAGTAGGATATAAAATTAACATGCAAAAACCAATAGTCGTCTTCTTTTTTTTTTTTTTTTTTTAGATTTTATTTATTTATTTGAGAGAAAGAGAGAGAGACAGAGAAACAGCATGAGAGGGGAGAGGGTCTGAGGGAGAAGCAGGCTCCCTGCTGAGCCGGGAGCCCGATGTGGGACTCGATCCCAGGACTCCGGGATCATGACCTGAGCCGAAGGCAGTTGCTTAACCAACTGAGCCACCCAGGTGCCCCACCAATAGTCTTCTTATACACAAATAATAAACAGGATATAATACTAAGGAAAACATCACTTATGGTAATAAAGAAAATTAAATACTTGGGAATAAATTTAACAAGAAATGTATGAAACCTGTAAAAGGAAAATTTTTAAACATTGAGAAAACACAGAAGTAGACTTGAAAAAATGGAAAGACATCCTTTGTTCTTAAATTCTGTGGGGACTTAGAATTATAAAGATTCAGTTCTTCCCTAAATGAATTTATAAATTCACTGTAATGCCAATGAAAATTCTAACAACTATTTAATAAAGTTAGGACAGGTTGATGTGAAAGTTCATGTAGAAAAATAAACATGTAAGAATAGCCAGGAAAACACTGGAAAAGAAAAACTGTGTGGAGAAATCCCTACCAAACATTAAAGTATCCTCTATAAAATAGTGAGGTAATTGCGCATGAATCGATAGTGGACCAGGGAGATGGAGTAGGCAGTCCAGAATTTTATGTGACAAAGGTTGGATCTCAAATCATTGGAGGTAGAGATAGACTTAGAAGATGGTGATGGGGGGGCGCC